AAAAAAAGTGTACCTCCTGTTCCTATAAATGTATTGTACAAGACGAAGTGGACAATCCGGATTCTATGAAACAAAGGAATAGAAACCCATTACAAAAGCTATGAAAAGAACGTCTTATGTGGCAGATTTCAAATTCAATTTTAAGCAGTGTAGAGGTGCTTTCTGTGACCCTCACCTGGTGCAGTATGACACAGACGATTCACACTTTTGCTCTGCGCTCCAGTTACAGGCATCAGACACCTTTAGCAAGTACTTGTACTTTGCAAACATCTCCTCAGGAGCACAGATACCGAAGAACACCTTTCCAGCATGTTCAATTCTCTGTTCAAAAGTATTGAGAGCCTTGAGTAAGACAGTCAAATTGAACTGAAAGACACAATACTATGTGTGTGACGGTGACAACATACAGTCACTTTAATGTTCTTCCGTTTCAGTTCGCCAATAAAGGCATCCTGCTTTTTGAAGGTTTGGTCCTCCATGTCCTCCACTTTACCAGCCACCAGGACATAGTCATATAATCGAGGGGCATATGAGTTACGCTGAATGAAACAAATGCAGAAATAACCAAGACAGAAAGAAACATGCTTGCAGAGCAGACATACCATTTTTCTCTGAATATCAATGAATGATCAGACTGTATTTCTGCTGACTCTAGGTTTTGTGGGATTGCTTTAGTTGAGTGTTTGGGTCTGTGACTGTCACCTGTTTTTTCCAAAAGTTTAGGTCATGCAGGGCAAGAACTTAAGTGATGTGAATGTGACATTATGACCATAGTTTGGTAAGATATAACATCATGTGCTTTGCATGTGAAGTCATCATAACTGAACATGTGCTCGGGTAGAAATGTGATTGTGGTACTGTGGTATTTAAATCCTATTGGTCAACACAAAAACACATGGTCTCTTTTCTTACCTGTGGTGTAAGTAAAGTCTCATTGTCCAACTCATACATAGCCATTTCATCCTGCAATACATAGAAATAACAGAGAACTATAAATAGGTAAAAAAAAAAAAAAAAAGGTTTACTGACCAATGCACAATTTCTGAATATTAAGTGCATATATTGTACAAAAAAACAGTGTTTAATTTCACCCTATATGTAAACTCCATCTATCAGAATCAGAATTCATCTACTGCCACTGTCATTTATGTATTGAGGACAGCATAAGACTTATCTATGTACTATCTTATCTATGTCTTATCTAATACATCAACCCGGTATCACCCAGACAGAGGAAAATGTGCATTATGCAAACTGACATTTGTTTATGATGCCAAACCTTATCTCAATTGAAACGCAAATTTCTAACCCGTCTTCATGCAAGCTACTACAGTAATACTTAATGACTAACCAGCTTTATATAAAGCAAACTGATCAAATACAGCAGGATCCAAATATCTATTAAAAGTTTTGCGCTCACATTGTTATGATTATAGTATAATTTGTAATTATACTTTTTAAAGATTAAATAAAAATAAAAAAACAAAATTAAAGACTTTTCACCAGTTTTGTCAAGTGTAACCGGACTTCAATGGAGCTCATTTACAGTCTATCAGAAAACACGTGGCCATGTGTTTTGTAGAAATTAAAGCCAGTTGGATAGGAAATGTATTATTATAGATATTCTAGGATGAATTCAGGTTGATTGGGACAAAGAAAAAAATCTGAATTTGTATGATAATATCTTGAAGCATAAAAGCTTTCTTTCCCTTTTTTTTCCCTACGTCTGATTGTCACTTTGACAGCAGCTACTCCTGCTGGTATGATGGCAGGTCAAGACATGCTTTTGGGTAACATTTTATAGAACTACAACTGTTTGCTAAGAGTGTGTGTTTGTGGGTGTCAGAAAGACTGAGGAATCACTAAGAACGTGGATTATTATTCCTCACCTGTGCCTTACTAAATCATTAACTGAAGTTACAGTAATTAAAATATGTTCTTGCTCTAGTCAATGACGTATTAAGAAGCAGCACATGACAAATAACCTGTTTAACCACAACATAACCATTATTCATTCAGGTTTTGTATACATTTACGTAATATGAACACGTACCTGATCACTTTACTCTACCAAAACAAATTCATCAATAATAAGTCTAAAAAAAATCGAATCCCTAATCAAGTTTTTGTATTATGCAAGATTAAGGAGGTCATAAGCAAATTACTGAGTTGTCGGTTGTGAGCATAAACATGTAAATGTTGATGTACAACACAGTGTCTTTCTTCTGAAACATACACATGAAAGATCTCAACAACAAGTTGGTCAGGTCAGGTGAGTGTCCTAAATAATGCAGTTTAACCTGTCTGAAACCACTAGACACATTTTAATAATCAAAATGAGACAGTTATTTATAAGTCCCAAGACAAAGTCATTCACTAAGGAGGAATAAAATTGGAAATAAAATAGGATGCACCTCCCTATTTTAAACAGTGTTATGGGATATACTATTACTGTAACTTCCCTCTCTAGGCTATGTTGGATATATTGATGTTACAGTAATATTGTTAGTGGTGAAAGCCTCTGATGTATATGACAGGATGAGTGCAAAACAGAGACTACAGTAGCCTACCAAATATTATATATTTAAAAGGGTATAAACTGCACATTTAATATTACTAAACAGCATAATTGTAAAACTAAACATCTGTAACTAAATACTCAGAAAACAAAATAGTATTTTCTCTTCACATGAGCTATGCCTCACATCGACCAGTTAAATTAATAAACACCTCAAGATCAATCAGACAGGCATTGGCCTATGCACTAGCACCTGCACACACGCACACACACACACACACACTGTAGCCTATACCTCTCGATCAGTGAAGAACATTCTCAGATCAAAGTTTTCAAAGCAGCTCAGCTCAGTTCAGTTCAGGCAGACCGATGTCAGTGTCTCTTCTCTTATCCTCACATAGCCGAAGACCAGCTTTAACAAATGAGAGAAACTCAAACTGACTAGAGACCGAAAGAAAGCAGTGTAACCTACACTTCCGCATTTCCCATCTCATATTTAAGACATCCGCGAGCTCGACGACGATCGTGACTTCTACCTTTACAGGTGAGACCACAGACGTCATCGCTTTCTGTTGAAGGGCGGGGCCGAGGTTTTATTACTCTCAATACCATGCTCTATACACAGAGATCAATAGGCCTGATAACTTGAGATCGAAACTCAGACGTTACTGCAGTGGCAACAGTCATTCGGCTCTGAATGTGTTATTAAAGTCATAAAAGGAGTTAGGAGAATTGGGCAGTTGTCACTGCACTGCTATATATATATATATTTTTTTTTTATACATGCAAATACGTGCTGCTTTAACCTCCTATGATCCAGCAAAAAAAAAAAAAAAAAACACCTTTGGAATCATATTATTTCATTAAAGAAAAAAATGGGTACAATAATCTCAGTCAAGAAAATTAAGGCAACACATGAATCCTTTTTTCCTGCTAAGACAGAACATTAGATAAAATACCCTGCAATAAAACTGCCATTAGGACATTTAGTCCATTCAGTAGCTTTTATAAACTTGCCTTAGAAAAAAAAAACATTAGCTACTGGTGTTGCATCTTGAGCCAAAACAGTGGCAATGATAGATATGTCAGTGCAAGTTCCTTTCAGTTAAACAGCTCAAACTCTTTTGTTCTAGTCTGGGGGTTTAAGGGAAACTGGCAGAATAGTCTTTGGGGATTCTCTAACCAGAAAACCTCCACACACTGCTGTGTGTGTCTCTCCATTGTCAGGTATAGGCTAGGCTACATTTCTTACTCTTAGATTCATTCTTTGAGCAATTGATATTATTCATTATTTCTGAATTGGCTTCTAATGGCTTAATTGTGTAATTGGCATGATCCATTTTTACCTGACGACTAAAATGTTATATATTTGATTTATTCTGTATTCTTCTGAAATCATTATGAGTATATTATGGAATGAGTATAACTCTTATGGAGTCTGGTGTAGGTCAAACTAAAGGCTCATGAATAAATGGAACATTAGGCACGTCATCTGAGACCTTTTGATTTCTATCAATCACTGACTTAGCAAGCTGTACAGAAGTGGATAAATAAACTACACTTTTTGTACGAGTAAGCAGTATGCAACCATCTAAAGGTAATAGCTAACCCGGCACCATCTGAGATCAGACTGGTGAGTTTGTGTTCGTAAAGTCCCACATAACCAGGCCGGCGTGCGACTCCATGTGACATCGGGTCCCTAATGAATGAATAATTGAAAGTATGGGATACCCAGAATAAGATCTAAATGAATAAATAACCAATATTTATGATTTGTTAATTAGAAACAGTCTAAATTGAATAATCATTTGAAATTGGAGATAGATTAAGCAAGGAGCTTAAGTGAAATTTAAATTAAATTCTAATAAATTAAGTGAACTTCACAGAAGCACTGAAAAGACAACAGACATACCTTCGCCCACGCCGTTCGAATCTGTCATTGGGCCGGCAAAATTGTTTGCGAAAATGCAAAATAACTATACAAAACACAGTTATTGCATTCACAAAAAGTATTTTAATCCAATTAAATACTTTATAACCAAGTATAACTACTAAGAATTATTCAGACTATATAAATTTCAATTACTTTTAGATCCGCAAATTATACTTTTGCAATACCTTTATTTTTCCAGGTTTACCAGGACCATAAGGTCATTAAGAAAAAAAAAAAACTAAGGAAGGAGGAAGTTGTTAAAGTTGGTGAAACCACCAAACATTTGGTTTCTCTGAAAATGGATATCATTCTTAAGACTTTAAACTGTAATAATGTCCTAAAACACACATGCTCTACAGAGGAGGGGGAAAAACTGGCTGAGTCCAAGAATGGTGTACAGTGGGATTCGGCTGAAAGCGGATGTCCTCAAGTCCATGGTTCGTCTAGCCTTGTTCTGCAGTACCAGAAGTGGGATTAATCTCCTCATTTGCATTGTTCTTCATCAATCACATGACCATGCAAAACATTGAGCAAACACTTCCACCAACATTAAGACAAAGCACACTTATTTAATGTGATCTCAAAGTACACAACAGAGTCAAATTTATTCATGAAAAGTGGTCATAAAAATGACCACAGGATAATTGTATACACACTAAACCACTGATACCACTGCATACAGGTTATCAATCTATAGATGTGGGTTATTTTTTATGCTATCCTTTGCGAAATGGCCTGTACAGTATGACAGCAAGAGCTTTTCATGGATTATACAGCCTAAACCAAGATAATTGGATAGTCAAATCACTTTATACAAAACAACATTAAGTTTGAGGTACATAAACATTAAAACAGCAGTTTTAAATATTTAGGTTCAAAGTGCTCACTCTGCGCCACCTTCGTCATCTTCCAGTGTTTTACGGAAGTGTTTGCGATTTACTTTCTTGCCACTGTTGAAGACGGCACTGGACACCATTTTGTCTTCTTCCTCTTTCTCAGACCCCCACTTCCTTTTTTTCTCTTTATTGCCCCATGAAATGTGATGATCATCCAAGTGTTGAAGGCCAACTGCTTCCTTCTTAGCATGGTCAAGTTTGCTCCCACTTTGATCTTTGCTTTTGGGTTTAGTGAACACAATCTTATTATCACTGCTGCTGCTGTGATCCTGGTTGAAAGTTGGAGTGAAAGTCTCCAGCGTGGCTTTTTGAGACCTCCGGCTGTCTTGAAGCTCCTGAATGTACTCATGAGCGACCTGACTATTCTTTCTATCACTGGTTTCAGCAATATCTTCAAGACTGTAGCGGGTCCAGCGCTCAGGGTTTGCTAAGTAGTCTGGGAGTTTTTTACCTGGAGGTTGTTTTTTGGTTGCCTCTTGGCCAACACCACACTTCCCTTGAGCTGCCTGTGGAGGTGACGGTGGAGCAGGACGGGCAAACATGCCATCAAGAATGTTGTCTTCACCAAGATCCTTAGATGTGAGCTTTGCTGCACTATCCAACTGTGCAAAGATGTCCTTGCTCCGATCACAGAAACCAGAGCTGCCACCTATCAGTCTGAAGGTGGGATTTTCTTGAGGAACAGACTTGACATGCTGCTGAGTCTCACCTTCATCCTCTGAGGATGATGACAAGTCCTCAACCTTTCTGCCGAAATGCTCTGTGGGTTCATCAGAGTCAGAGTCGCTCAGGGAGAGATCATCTGGGAGTTCAATCATATCTCTATTAGACAGACTGTTGGGAGCATCCTTTTCTTTGCAGTTTGGGTCACTCATTGTGCTACACTACTCCAAGGTTAGGTCAAGAGATACGATTAGAAGCTGAATATTTACGCTGAGATGCTGTGTGAAAGATCTAAAGAAGAAAGAAATTAAGAAATACTTGTGTTAGTAATGCACAAACACAGACAGTTTATTCAAAGAGTAGCATATAAAGTAAATAGGAATGGCATTGACTGCACAAAACACTAGTGCTGCTAATAAACTTCATAGAATTGTGATCTTGAACTTTATTTTTTGACAAACTCATAACAAACCAACTGACATGAACTATAGAGAGAAAAGCAAAGATGAGGAACTACTCGCTCACCAAAAGGCTCTTGAGACACCTAGGAACCAGAATGAGAAACAAGCAGTGAGATCTTCACTCAGTAAACATACAATTACATAACAGCATTATACAGTGATCTAATAATAGTTAAGGAAATGCATTTCAATACATTATTTATATTAAAATCCATATTTATTCATTTATTTTACAGATCTTGTAATGCTGTTGTTCTTTATGCGCTTGTTACATAATCCCACTAATCTGAAGAAAGTAAAAATATATATATATATAGATGGAACAATGCTTAGGTGCATGGAGGTATCTTACTGCGGTTGAAGACTCACAGGTACTGAGAGCTGGTCAGTTTAGCTAAAATCATTGATTCCAGAGTATTGATCAAAGTTATGGCCATAGCGTTTAGGTTGTCCTCTTCTTACTGTGTAAGCTTGAATTAAACAAAGTCAGCATCAGCATATCTGTATATGTCTACTTATTAAATCAAGAAGAAGAAATATGCAAAACTACATGCCTTTAAAACAAATCATGACGTTAATGTAATGTCAGTGACAGTGAGCATTATATTCTGATGACACGTTAAACCAGCTAACGCAGCTATCCCGCCTAGCTGTGATGATAAACGTGAACAAAATATCTCAAAATGCCCTCAGAACCTACGACATGTACGGTAACATGCTAGTTGAAATATAAGAACCATAATTTGAAAGTTACTTAGTAATTTGACACGTATCTAGTTGTCCACATAAGCAGTAGCATACCTTTAGCTGCGGTGAGTGCCCATAATCAACGAAGAGATGCTTTGTGGGTAATGTAGTTTATCTGTTAGAATGAAAACAACAGCTGCGTTCTAGTTCTCACATGGTCAGTGTTCACAGCTCCCTACATGCATAGCAAGGGGTGTATGAATATAATATCATTTCATTTCATTTAAAAAATGTGTCAGTTCATAGTGTTACGTTCAAATATCTGTGAGTCTATATAATATTTTATATTTATATATTTTTAAGTTAACTTAATAATAATTAGTCATACTTGAAAACACTAAATTTAGTGATACATTAATTTTGTAATGTTAAATATGGTTAATTTCACACTAATATGTCTCAGATTTACCAAAAAAAATGGCTACTCCGTTTGCCCCAAGATTTGCCCATAGACAGTAAAAGGGTTTGCCCTGCCACGCCATTGTCGCATTTACCGTTACTATTCTGATTTGTAAAAAGCATAATTACAATTTCTGAGAGCTACGACTTGTACCACGTGACTGACCGCTGATTTATTTTGGAGATAGTGCAAGAGAAAAGTATCCGATTCCGAGGACGTGAACTGCTCCAAGTACACCGTCATCTCTTATTTACGGTAATTACGACATTGCGTGAACGCAAATACCTTTGAATGTCTGAATACCTTTGAAGTCCACTTCACAGGGCACTACGGAGGATTGGAACACCCAACGTCTGTCTGTACAATAACCAGCAGAGGGCGCAAATGCTGTAAAATAGAAGCACGTGCGATCTGACCCAGTGTAGCCTACTTTCATTAAAAATTAATTGAGGTAATGGATATATAGAATAGCATTTAAGACGCATATTTAACAGTGCAGGACATAAATGCTAAATAGAGATACAGATTAATCTTGCATTCAATTAAAAAAATTGTAGGAATGACTGAACACATAAAGAACACAGTAATAAAGAACGTGACATTATAGAGACCCAGCATATAATACTTTTCAGTATTTTATGTCAGTATGCCGACAGAAAGCCACTCCCCTTTAAGACATCATCATCACATCTCCAGTTCTCAGCTCGCCGCTGCTTGAACGTTAGTTATTGATGTTATGGAGAAGAAAGCGAGCGAGGGATTCACAGTTTAGCCACTACATTCTCCCAACATCTTAAAGCTTGAAAGCGGAAATCTCCTTCGGCACCTTCTTTACTTAGGCCAGAAAGGCAGACTGAACTGACGGATTTTTTTTTCATTGTCCCGTGGGAGAAAAGAAACGCACGAACTTACCATGAAGAGAATAACGGGGAAGACGAAAGAAGCTACTTTAATAGAAATGTCCAACACTCTGGATTCTCAGATTGAAGGTAAGAACTGATACATTAACAGTTATGTAAACCTTATATGCAGTGTTCAAAACCATAATGAGAAGGTCAGTCTGGGAGTTGTCATCGTAAATGAAAAGATAAATGAATGTGACGCTGCATTAAATCAGCTGACAGGATCACTTCAAAGACAAAGAACAATGAAAAAAAAAAAAGAAGCGATGCAACATGTTCATCAGGTCAGGTCCCTTTAACAAAATAAAAACGTATAAACAGTAACATGTGTTCAAAAAAGCGGCTTTGAACTGAAATTAAAATAGGCTTAATTTCCTGAAATGGCAAAGGTATGGAAAAGTTGCGGTCTACACCCAAAGACTGATACTACCCGGCACCGTGCTGTATCCTGCATTACAAAAGCGTGTTTTTGACATGGTTTAAATCCACAAAAACAGCCCTGGTGTGAGCATTTGGCTACGTGTTCATTTCTACGCATCATTGTATGAATGGTAGTTTTAAAAGCAGTTTGAACCAGCTCTTTTATTAGCTTTCACGTTACTCCGTCTTGCCACATGGCTTGGCCTCAGTCCCATAACTTGGGAATCAAACAGTCCTTATGTTGAATCAGTTAAATGTCTGCTGTCATTGTGACTCATGAGTTCATTCAGTTCCCCTGCACACAGGTCATTTTTAGACTAGAAAACATCAGGCTCCAGAATGTGGTAAAGAGAGAAGTTGAGTCTTTGTATTCATGGAGTAGGCTATTGGATAGTGAAGTATATTAGTTACTCGATTTTGTAACCAAACAAAGAGAAAAATCATTATATATAGGATGATACCCAATGAATAGGCTTTACCATAGAGGACCTTAGTGGGGCCCCCTTTGACATGGGACCTAGGTAGGACAATGTTCTTGGTTTTCCCCCTCTGACAACTAAATATACGGTATCATCTCAACAGAATATCCTGCGCTGATGTTTTAGCTTAGGGATGTGACAGATGTGTCATGCAGCAGTGTAGTTTGATCCCACATTTGATAAATACTCGGCTTGTTTTTTAATAATGTAAAATGAATAATTGAGCCGAGCTGAGCAGAGCTGAAATGAATCAGTACTGGGTCTGATGTGGCTCTTGCCATCCTGAGGATTTTTGTTGCACTGGTTGAGTAAAAGCTGCTAATGCATTAAGGCTAAGAGACTTATTAAGTGTGAGGTGTGTAGGTGTAGGCTATGTTTATGTCCACGGCTCGTGTTCACATTGGTGTGTGGGTTTGTTTGCCCAAGTGACTTGTTATTATTATTATTAATATTATTTATTACTCTGTGTCATGCGTGTATGTTTTGTAAGAGGGAGTGGTTGAGAAGAATGAGAAAATGTAGAATATAAGGGAAATGTACATTTCAGGGGAACCCAGCCTAATCTCCCTGTTCCCTCCTGCTTTGGATTTCACTGCAACTATTTAAAACATGTACTGATCATAGGTGATTCACTGGATAGTAATATGATTATGCTTCTCGACCAGGACTGTGGCAGAGCCATGGCTCACATTGTTAAGTCTGCAATGTGTGATTAAAAAACAGAGGGATTTACAGTGACTCTGAATTTTGTGTCTAGGCTATATCTTGTTTGCACTGTATTTCATTAACATATGGAAATATTTTGCACTGAAATGCATTGAATCTTAAAGGTAATTATTTTTTATATATTTAATTAGTCTTATATTGGCCAGATGCTTAGCGGCAACAAGTGCGCTACAAGATGTACGAGTTTAATATACTTTTCATTCATAGGTGCCTAATTAACAGCAAAATTAAGAAGTGCAGCAGAGTTTGAGAGGATACACTGCTTAAAGGATTAGTTCACCTCAAAATGAAAATTTTCCTGATAATTTACTCACCCCAATGCCATCAAAGATGTTCATGTCTTTCTTTCTTCAGTGGAAAAGAAATTAAGTTTTTTGAGGATTTATTTCAGGATTTTTCTCCACACAATGGACTTCAACGGTAACTTCAATCAACGTTGAAGTCCAAATCAATGCAGTTTCAAATCCCAGCTGAGGAAAAGGGTCTTATCTAGTGCAACGATCGGTCATTTTCTAAAAAAAATAAAAATGTATATACTTTTTAACCACAATTGTTCGTCTTGCGTTGGTCTGCAACGTGCCAGGTGTTACGTAATCACGTTGGAAAGGTCACGCTGGACGTAGGCGGAAGTACCGCCCCATTGTTTACAAGCGCGGAGAAGGAGAATCGTTCAAATTTTTTTGATTGTTGAATGACATATTTATGTCTTTGTGTCAGTTATTGTTTAAAATGGTCCTTTCGTGTGCGTATCCTGGATGTTTAAAACAATGGGGCAGTACTTCTGCCTACGTCCAGCGTGACCTTTCCAACGTGATTATGTAATGCCTGGCGTGTTGCAGACCAGCACAAGATGAACAATTGTGGTTAGAAAATGACCGATCGTTGCGCTAGATAAGACCCTTTTCCTCAGCTGGGATCTGAAACAGATTTCAGCTTTGAAACTGCATTGATTTGGACTTCAACAATTTGGTTACCGTTGAAGTCCACTGTGTGAAAAAACTTCATTTAGCATTTCTTTTCCACTGAAGACATGAACATCTTGGATGGCATTGGGGTGAGTAAATTATCAGGAAATTTTCATTTTGAGGCGAACTAATCCTTTAAGCAGCTCTTAAACAGAGAATCAACCCAGGGCCAGAACCCACAGCTAATGGCCAACTCATTAAATCTGCATAACATAACTTTGATATCACACAGTTTTTTATTTTAGCTATAAAACTTCCTGTTGCTGCAGTAATTGAAGCCTGGTAATATAGCCTATTGCTTCTTATCATCATCATCGTAATTGCTGTAATAGCAATGTAGTTTCATCATGACTGCTGGGCATCAGTTTAATTGTGTTTAGTGTTAGATAGCTCGTTTAAAATGGTCTTTTATATAAATTACACTTCTTAGATATGCTAAAATATTTAAATCCAATTACTTTTTTGTAAACATTGAGTTGGACTAGGTTAATCAATCCCAAGTGGTCCAAATAGAGGTTACTTGACCATTTTTTATTTTTCTAATTTTGTTTGCATGACTATCTCTGTTTTTTTTAGTATTGCAATTTTTGTTTGACTTGGTTTAATCACAGCAGCCTTCTTTATGTCATGGCCCACAACAAATGTTGGTTATACAGATGTTTACGGAAACCTCAGTATGATCAGGATGTTCTGAGCTCCTTGGAACAGAATCTCTAGAGCAGTGTTTCTCAACCAAATGCCAAAATAAATAAAAATAAATGCTACAAATAAGAATATATCAACACTCTCAGGTGGAAACAACGTATCTTTATATTGCGTCATTTTTGTTTAATTTTAAGTTTTACCAAAGACTTTATATACAGAAAGACGGTTCACTCGTATTACTATGAATTGGAGTAAGTGCAACGCACAGTATGGTGGAATAAGTCCCGCCTTCTAAAGAAAAGAGCTTATCGACAATTGGTAACGTCATCTCTGACGCAGCTGCTGTTAGAAGCTCCGGTTCCTATAGAAACAGTCAGTGTTCTGAGATGCGCACTTAGGACTGTGTATGCGCATTAGCTTGGTCCATTTGATGTTTCCCTATTCAAAGAGATAGGAGCTGTACTTGCCTGACTGAAATAGCTGCCTGAGAGGCGTTTCAAAGATGGCCGCCGAGTGAAATTACTTCAAAGTCTTAAACGGACTTTGGTTTTACAAAGATTTAACCAATGAAAAGGATTTAAAAGAGCTTGTGACTAAATCTCGTAACATTATCGGATCCTCAAACTGTCGGTCAAACCTCATAACTCCACTTGCATCTATCGTAAATTATTTCCACACAGTTTGGGAATCTATGCTTGTTTGCAATCCAAAGGTAAATAAAGAACTGATAATCGAATAAGTACGTTTTCTTTACTCAAGAAACACTATGTCTATAAAGGCTTTTTTGTATTTGAAAAAATATAATGAGATTTTGTCCAAATCTTCAACAACAAGAAAAACTGAGTGCCCATATAACTGCAATAAACTTTATAACCTGTAAGTTGATGAAAACTTAATGCAATGCACCTAATGCCTCAGATGCGTTCCAGTGACGGACAAAACACATAGGCCTATCTCTGTCATTCGCTGCTAAAAAAAAAGTTTGAGCTTTATCTTCATAAAATGTTAATATTATAATAATGACACATGCACTTGTCTGACTATATATATAAAGCCACAATACCAACCAAAAAATGTGAAGTGTCCGTCTGACAGCGACAATTTTTAAATTTGAAGACCTCCGATGCAAAAGCCTCTAAAAGCCACCTATGTCAAAAATAAGATAATAATATTGAGTGAATGCTCTCCGCACATAGTATACATTCATCAAATACTTTCACTTCAAACTCACTAAATCCTAGCCTCAGCCCATTCAAAAATGTCGGTACTTAGGTAGAAACTTATACATAGCAGCCAGCTTAAAATTTTAATATTAAAGAAAAACGTTAGATGGACTTAGAGGCTTTTGCATCTGAGGTCTTCATTTGTTGTTTTGTCATCGTCACCATAGCTACCCATATGACCTTATTTGGGTTCATGCCTGACTAAAGCTAAAGTTTGACAGGTGAGCACTGCTTTTAATATAAAGTTATGCAATTTGAAGTAATGCATGTTTGTGCAATTTCGTTATTTTAGTGCTTAGAGGTGTGCCATGGGATTCTTTTCTTATCAAAAGTTTGGGAAACACTGCTCTAGAGCAAAATTCATTCAGCATATTCTTGTTCCTTAGACTTAGAATTCAAGTCCAAATTTAATGATCAAGATATCTCAAAGTTCCACTTTTAGGTATTCGAGTCTCAATCCTAAATTGGGCCTTCGGACTCTGTAACCAGTGGAATGTTAAACTCATAATTAGGGCTACACAATTAATCGCAATGAAACTGCACGCGATTTGGCAAAGGCTGCGATTATTTTATGCGCAGCTTGTCAGTGCAGTGTGGTTGATCTGTAGTAAATGCCGCTCCATCTGAACGCCAGAGGGCATCTCACGCAGACACGCCAAATATGCCCCACCGCAGAAGTACAATAACGCGCATCATTCCAGGAAATCCCTATCGGGCATCATCGCTGTAGCTGAATAAACAGAAGATTGAAACGCTTTGATTGATTAAACATGAATAATAAACACACGACTGCCTTATTCTGAGTAAGAAGCCACATCATCTCACAGAAGGATGCTCAACTGTCTTTATGAAGTGAGTTTGGAGTAAAAGCATGTTATTAAATGTTGTCTATTTTTGGACAAGAGGTTCATAAATGGTTCTCATGTTTGGAAAGCTGTTTGACTTGTGTTGCTTTTTCAAATGCACGTTAAAGTGACTCAAACTCACAGTGCTTTCAGATGGAGCAGCGTTTACACAGCCGTTCATCAATGACAACTTGCGCATAAAAAATAATCGCAGCCTTTGCGATTTCAAAATCGCGAAAAGTCAACTCATTTAAGTGCGATTTCATGTATATTGCGATTAATCGTGCAGCCCTACTCATAATTTTTACAGCAGAATGCACACATTACAATTGTTAATAATCCAACTGGATCATAGAAATGCCATTAAAAGATTATTTTGAAGTTTACCATCTGAGCTCTCATCATCAGAAAGTAATTTAGTCAATGCAAAGTGTTGTTATTTCGGTCCTGTGGAAAAACTTTTATTTACTCTTTTTTTTTTTTTTCTCTCCAAGGGATTGTATATTAAACTGTATAGTGTTTGACAGTGTGAATGGTCCTGCCGTCTCTTCAGAGTTTATCAGTGTATTGTCACGCTGGACTGTCGAAAAACGAGTCTCTTATCAGGACAGACCTCATGGTATCCTCTTTAGAGAATGCGACATAGACACCCGGTGTGGACCCTGAATAGATTTCCGCGCACTCCCTGCCACACCATGCCTGCTGTGTTTGTGTGTGTGGATTAAGATATTAAAGGGGTGATGAACTGAGAAATCAAATTTTCCTTGAGCTTTTGACATCTAAGAGGTCATCAAATTATAAGAATATCCTGTAAGTTTCAGAACTGAAAACGTCCTTTGTTAGTCCAATAAAAGCTTTTATTGACACCAGGCTCAGCAAACTACTCGTTTTTCAAAGTGGGGAACTATGACGACAAAGAGGATAAAACACCACCCCCGCAGAAGAAGATAAACGCCTACTTCAACACGGCCGGTTTAGCCCCGCCCACCGATTCGCGCATTACACGAAACTCATTATAATATGCAAAACTGTTATCCACTCACAGCAGTGGGCGTTTACTTCCAAGTCTTCAATGCGAGACGCCCATAAAAACCGAGCGTTTTTGAGCTAGGCTCAAAACTAGGGTAGAAAATAGCCTATTACGGTAACACTTTACTTGAAGGGGTGTACATAAGACTGACATGACACCTTCATAACCATGACATGACATAGCCTATGTCATGAATATGAAGTAGGGTTTATGCATGTTTATCACAACTGTCATTAAGTGTCTTTCGCTCAATAATGACATTTTGAATGCAAATATGACATTGTTTAAGATGTCTTTGTTATGACAACTTGACATAAACCAATACATCATAACCTGTCAGTGTCTTTGTCATGACAACTTGACATTAAATTAAGTTAAACTGTCATGTGGTTGGTTTTGACATTGGCTGTCATAAGGCCATTATAACTGTGTCATGAATATTTTTCATGACCTCAACTACAGTGGTACAAATTGAATTTGTCATTAAACAGTTATAATGGCTTCATGACAGCCAATGTCAAAACCAACCACCTGACAGTTTAATGCAATGTTAACCAATAAAGCTAAGTGGTTTCTTAAGTTTGATAATTAATCTGCTATGTCATGTTTATGACAGGTTATGTTGTCTTGATAATGTCAAGTTGTCATGACAAAGACACTGACAGGTTATGATGTATTGGTTTATGTCAAGATGTCATAACAAAGACATCTCAAACAATGTCATATTTGCATTAAAAATGTCATAATTGAGCGAATGACACTTAATGACAGTTGTCACAAACATGCATAAAACTTCCTTCATATTCATAACATGTGTCATGTCATGATTATGAAGGTGTCATGTTAGTCTTATGCACACCCCTTCAAGTAAAGTGTTACCCCTATTACTTATTCATTTTGATGTTTTTGAATGTAAAAACCAAGCGAACGTCGTAAGTTGACCTCAGACAACAATATAAATTTTTTTAAAAAGCCAGTTCATGACCCCTTTTAGATATTAATTTAGTTACAGAGTTACTCTACTAAAATGTTTTATTATTCAAATAGCATAAATAAAATTACTTGATTTTGTTTTGTTTCAAAAGAGCACAACTGAATTAAATAGTTTAATTGTCACACCACTTGCAGAAAACAGCCAACAAGTGAGGCTGCGCTTGTTGGTAACCAGGCGAAAGAAAGTGAGAGTTGTTGCTGTAGCAACAGGCAGTTTGATTTAGTTTTCTCTTTGATAGCCATACTATATGAACAAGTAGTTGACCCAGTAAAAGTCATAAATAAACTCTAAAAGGGATCTCTCTATTTTTAGTATGATCATGGCCCTTGAGCATCAACAGAGTAATTAGAAACATTTAAATTCTTTTTTTTTAAAGCGTGATAATGCAGGCTATTATAAGATTTACGCATTTGTTTTGTGTACGTCACAAGTTGTTTGTATATCTAATTTGAATTATGAATATTATCTGTATATCTATAAACAGTCCTTCTCCTGACCTCACAGTATATTCATTATTTGCTTCGCTATTTAAGAGTAAGACTTTGCTGGAGATCCCAGATTACTTTCCGAGACACCATTGCATCCTGTTGATACAGTTCCTGTGTTATTGTGCAGCTTTTTCAAAGACTTTGCCATGGACACACAATGTGGTTGGTAATTGTGGTTTAGTTGCTGTTAATGTGAAATAGCTTTTCCGTGGATGTTCTCTGACCTGAATCTATGGCGTTTCCTGACACACTTTTCCTGTTGGGAGTTATGTGTTTTGCCATGCATTAAGAGTGCAATGGTGTAAGCTTGATTCATTCAGCCGATACATTCAGTTCACTTTATATTCCTACTACAGCTAGTCATGTGACACGTGAGGCTGAATCGGAATTGTGAATATATTTTCAGCCCATCTGCTGAACAAGCTGAGCCCATCTCTGCTGAACAATAAATTTATGCTTTAGCACACAGATTCAGTTAAACTGTTGATTTGTTTACTAGGAAATTACTGTGGGGGCCACAGGTTTGTATTCAGACAGGTTTTATCAACACTACTGCTGCTTTTTCCCTCTCTGCTTCAAAGTATTACACAAAGGTGCCATTATCAAAGCCTTTTTTTCCCAGTAGGCCTAATCATCACTCATAATAACACGATCAGAGGAAGCCTGCGAGACCACACCTGTTGGCTCTGCTCAGAGCAAATATTGGCCTTCTCATAGAATGGAAACGACAGAGACCAGACATTTATACAGGGGTGCACATAACTTTTTTGGTCTGGTTCTCAAGGGAGCACCTGGAGAGGCTGCTTGGTACTCACATTTTAAGTTGTCGTCATCACTTTCCTCCTGACTGCTCTCCTCACTGTCTTCTTTTCTCTTGAACATGGTAGATGATGATGATGTTTTTATTTTATTTTTATTAACATTAATGACACAGACAACAGCAGGAATATTAGGCTGCGGTCACTTTAAGGCCGAATGCATGGACCGAATATACTGCCACACATCTGGTTTCTTTCTCAACTGTTCACTTATGACAAAAATACTTGCAGAGATGGCTATTTAGCGCAAGTAAACATGAAAGAGGAATCAATTCTGAAACGTGTCTCTCTCTCTCTGTGTGTGCATGCCCTTTGGGTGTTTGCGGCTGTGCGGACAGATAACAGCGTGCGAGTCCCGATTTTTGCCTCTTCTTTCGCGTTTAAAATCGTTTGAATGTGTAAATTAGCAAGACAAAACATGTCCAAATGATGAACTTTCACTCTATGATGGTTAAACTTAGCAGTTAATCCGTGAATCATATGCGTGCTGAACCATGGGGTCTGGTCCGTATGGATCACTCACGGACAATTGCGATCTTTATACCTATTTACAAATGCAGTTTTTTGTGATTTTAGTTATGGTTTTAAATGTTAGCCCACACATGTATTAATTTTCTCCTAAAAGAAATGCATATAGAAAGAGTTGCTTGTGTGGATTTACATCTTTACACCCCTAACCGTCTCTTGGGTTAAGATGGCTGTGCCGTTCTAACGGGCTACCGGAGGACCTTTCAGGCAGGTACGGACAGAGCTACGTGTGCCGCTTGTTTGTCCATCCCCCGCTCTGCTCATCCTCTGATACTTTTTTGCTTCATATTAGTTTCCTGTCATTATCATTTTATTACGCTTCATCAGCATCTCAGAAATCATATTGTGACAAGTGTGCTTGTCTGTGCACATATTTGTAGATGTAAACTTTGCTCCAAATGCTAAAGATGTTTTTAAAAATGTTGACGTCTTTGTCTGCTCTTTCATTCCGTTGGCCTTGTCAACTTGTTAAGGTTCATGCCTCTGCTTTAAGGCTGGATATGAGTGTGTGTTTAAAGCTTTTTTTGTCAGAATTGCACGAAAGTTTTAGCTTGAATGTGTGAGAGACGTGTTTGATGATACTTTGTGTTTTTGTTGTACATATTGATAGCAGTGTTGTTCCGAAAGAATGAAGGCAGCACAACTGAAAATCCAAAATTTAATAAGGCAGAATCAAATGAACAGAACAGCCAGTCTGAAACTGTAATCTAATCTGTCCATGGTGGAAGCTATGTTTACTTGCACTAATTTTCAGTGTTAACTATCTGTAATTTGATTGAGTGGTGATTTAGTGCTCATTGATTTAGTGATTGATTTAGTGATGTGATATGCACTACGTCCCCTTGGAATTATAAGGTTCTATCTGCGTTCTGAGCAGTTTTGAGATATTGAACTTTGAAGTTTTTGCATTCCATTTGACTGTGTAGAAAGAACCTTTTTATTTTCTAAATAAAAAGTTCCAAAATGTACACAACTTAAAAAACAACATCACATAATGTAAAGAAGTGGTCACAGAATAAGAATATGTGAATAACTAAATTTTGACAAAAATGTCAGATAGAACCTTATAATTTCAAGGGGACGACTAGCCAGGAATTATGTGTTGTGTGCATCCTGTTACAAAAAGAGAACACTATGCCTGACTGTTCCCCACAGGAAGTGCTTCTATCCCACAAAGTTGGCTGCTCAGCATTTAAGTCCTTGCTGACTAACCAATGGAATTTAGGCCAAAGTATGTGGGGGAGAGAGAGCAAAAGGGCCGCGAAGACAAATAACACATACGACTGTAAACCTTTTTGTTTAATTTATGTGCTATGTGACATTCACTTTAGCAGCTATAAAATCTAATACGCTGCATAACACTGAATTTGTTTAAGTTGGAGCTGCTCTTCTGCAAAGGAAAATTAAATTAAATTATCTGAAAATGTAGTGTCTCTTAAAATATAGTGGAATGATTGTCATTTAAATACATCTAGTATGTAGTTTACATCAAAGGTGCAGTAAGCGATTTCTGAGAATCATTGTTGAACACTGTTGATAATTTGAAATCAACCCAAACAAACAAACAATTCCCTTCTTTGCTCCGCCCCCAAACATGCAATGGATGTCTCTTTATCATAGCAGAAGCTAAGCAAATAAAGCTTTGCCTAAAATAAAGCAAAAATGACGAACGAACGACTGACAAGGAAGAACACAATATGAGCATGCAGTCCACAAGAGTTTATATTAGAAAAGCATTCCAGTGCTGGAGAAACTTAAGCAGGAAGGCCTGAAAACAGATGCCGAGGTTGTGTTGTTTCTGCTCCATATGTGAGTAACACAGTTTTGAGTGTCATTGTTTGTCTGGAGCTAGTCCACAACCTCGGCATCTGTTTTCAGGCCTTCCTGCTTAAGTCTCTGCCGCACTGGAACGCTGTTCTAATTAGGGATGTAAACGATTAATCGATTATCGATTAATTGTCGACAAGAATTTACTCGATTAAATTAAATTAATTGTCGGCTAATTCTTCTCACGCGAGAGACCCAACAACTTGAGGCGGCAAACTTGAGGCGGCAAAAAAGAAACCAAACATGAGGCGGTCAAAACGGAGTGGACTACCAGCTATATACAGCGTGCTAACCTCGAAAATCCAGCTGTATTCTAACAATAACTTGGCTCTCCTTATTAGCGCCTTGCGTGCTGGCTAATAACTTTTTTTTAAAGCTGGGTCTCAAACATTAACAGCGCTGTGTTGGACAGATTTGTGCAGCGGTGTTGAGTGAGAGCGCGAGAGGTAGTGCTGCGATCTGCAATCAAATACGATTTTAAATAGGCTTAGTAAAAAAAATATATATAGAAAATCAATGTGTGGCGATCAGTGTTGATATTGTGGCGGGCCGCCACAAATAACGTATGGGAAACTCCGCCCTCTAATTTTACTGTCACCTTCCTCAGGGATGATTTAAGTTGTGTTCAGTTCTATATTTGAAGTTTTCAGGTCTAGTAATTTTACTTTTACCTTTCTCAGACCAAGGGGGATTATAAGGGCTGCTGCTAATGTTTCAAGTTTTTCATACAAGTAGTTTAGATTATTATATGTAGGCTTAATATAGTGTAGGCAAAGCCTACCCATATAGATTTTTATTTAAAATGTATTTTATGTTGCTTAATGTTTCACATGCAACAGGTGAGCCAGTGCACAATTATTTTTTATGTATTTTAATTTTCTGTGCATACTTTATTTTGTTAAACTACATAAATGCCATTATCTGTACCGTATCCCAACTGTTACAATAAAACATCAATTGAGCAATATACCATGCATTTTTATTCAGTATAAGCAATATTTTGCTTTTTATGTTAAAGACACTATTGATAACGTGAGAAATTTACATTCTCAGGAAAATAGCCGCTTATCAGTTAATCGTTAATCGATCGATAAGGTCGATCAACTAACGATTAATGAATTAATCGATAATTTGCATCCCTAGTTCTAATATTAACTTCCTTAAGCTCTAACCCTTCTTTTTCCAGTGATATTCCTTTGACCTTTTTTCTTTTGTAATGTATCTCAGCCATCTTTCTTTCCTGTTCAGCCAACAGTCTTCAAATCTCACTCTCTCTGGTGGACACGCCCCCTACTGCTGATTGGCTACAAGTTTATTATGGTGCTCAGTCCGATCCACTTTCTACAGCGCTTTTCAGAAATCACTTACTGCACCTTTAATACTGCCCACCTTTGGTCTGCGATCTACTGTGCTGAAAAAGCCCTATTTTAATGTAACAATGCAATCTTTAAAACATGCTAAAATGTTACCTTTTAACAGTACAACAGCTTGTCAGTGAGCAGTACCCTTAAAGGGAAAACTTTGTACTTTATCTACCACTAAAAGGTGCAAAGTTGAGAACAGCAAGAGGATCTTGGTTGGCATATGATGTTTCCAGTTAGACTATATAGCATTTGTGGTTCTGATATATATATATATATATATATATATATTAATGTCATTTCCCCTGTGTCATTTGCAGGTAATAATGGCATTAACTCCATCTCTGACCGAGGGACACAGCTGCCTGGTCACCGGGAGGTAAGATATCAGATATTTTCATCTCAGTCAGATATCTTGTCATAGTTTATGGTTCAGCTCTACCCTGTTTGAAGAAGCAACAGATTACTACTGTGCTATTTGGTAATGTGGTAAATAGGTCACATTTTGAGGTTGTGGTAATTTAAATGTGTGTGAATGTACTCACAACACAAGGTCTCCCAACTGCCCTAAACATGTCTGTTTTAAACATTTATGTTAGGCTAATTTGAACTTGTAAATGTCTAAATATAGCTCTTGAAGACAGGTTTTTGGGGGTTCTCCCATTAATACACTTTTATAATGTCCACCAAACGCAATAGTCGTCCTAAGGGGGGTTTGTCCTGTTTCTAGATTAGGATGCTCTCTGCACACGCAAGATCTCTCGCTCGCCTTCCCTCTCTGCTGTGCGTGCGCTACGCGGTTTGGAGCACGGTCTCTGTCTCGCATGCGCGCTCGCTCTAGATTCCGGGAGATTTTAACTAATTTGCGGCATAACTAGTCGATCACGAGTGGCTCAACAAGTAGATCTATAGATAAAATCATCTTTCAGGCATTTGACCGACCGGGTTGACACTTGACACTGAAACCAATCAAATGAGTGTGTCTCACGGCCAATGCGTGAGAGTTGGCAGCTCTGCAGAAGGAGATTCTGGTTGTTCCTGAGATGGACATTGGACCTTTTAGTATATTTTTCCACTGTATTAAAAATATAAATGTACTCACTTTCCTCAGTCTTAAGCATTGATTTTGGCATATTTACATGAAGCTATGTAAGCAGCAAGCATCAATAGATTTTTTTTTTCTTTTTTTTCTTGCTGGTGCACTTTGCTAATGATACTTTCCTCATCTTAGTGCAGTCAGCAATAAAGGAGTGTTTTGGCAAGTCATGTGCAATGGTACATTTTTGTCTCGATATTTCATTAAACCTGGATGCTGAATTACTCACCCTTGTGTTACCAGTTTAGTGAGGGGGCATCTAGAACTGAAACTGTAGCTCTGTTTTTTAGAGAATAATGAAGTATTACAATGAGCGTGATTGTGATCTCAGTCCCAGAACAGTATAAACCAATTCATCACAGGAGAGTCTCCAGGCCAAGGCATATTTCCCCCAGTTCTCTGCAGTGAGGAGGAGTGACCTTCTCTTATCAGAGGTTTCGGTGTGAGAGAGTGTGCAGCTTGCTGTTTACATTTGGTAGCAGTAGCACTACTTGGACAATACCTCTCTGTGACATGCCACCATTGGAGCATGGATGCAGACTTCACGTCCAGGGCATCAGAGATTGTTGCTTACTTCCAAGCGTGCCACACAATTCCTGAAAAGTGAAGCCAAAGCGTCTCGATCGCCCCGGTGGTTGGTCCCAGTATAGGTCGTAAACCCCGCCTCCCTATGAAGTCTAATGGACTCGATGGAAACTAAACAATCAAATTACACTTTAAATGATTTTTTCCCAAAGATGTTTTCTGTCATTTTAGGTAGTTTTTATCACGCTGATGTAAGTTTAAGTGTTCGTTTTTTTTTTGTTTTTTTTTTAAATATGTCTTAGTTGGTCTTGATGCTATAAAAACGGGAATGTGATGTCATGATTGACAGCTTCTCTAAACGAAGTAGTGCACTGAGGCACCAACAGACTTTTTGGGGGATTTTCGGGAGGAGATTGGAGCTTCAACTTTAATTTCTACTTGTCCATAACTGTTTATTTCACACTGACATAATGAGTTGTTCTGCAGTAAGCTGTACTAACGGTTTCTGCAAGAGTGAGGGTGGGACCTTGATATCGCGGCTCCACTTCGCGTTCGCTACTGCGCAGAAGCAGGTCCCAAATCTGCGCAAGATGTCCGCGCCATATTAGGACTTTGGCGGCTTCACTTTTCACCAATAGAAGAGAGTGAAGGGGCGTTGTCCATCTTTTTTTACAAGCAATGCTTACTTCGTTAGAGCTTTTTTTAAATGACTCTTTTTAAAATGAAACCTTTTTAGGGTTGAACATTAAATTTCTTGAATAGTGCATTGTTATTCACAACAAATCTTAAAATCACAAGTAGCCTATTATATATGAAATATGCAGAATGTGTAATGTTTAAATGTTTATAGTTTGTATTCAGTGTACTGTATATTAATAGCATATATTATTATTTTTCATTGATGATAGTTAATTTCCTGAACACATTGACACTGGACAACATCGACATATTTTATTTTGATTGTTTCACTTTTTGAAAGTTTTTTTTTGAGAGAGAGAGGGGAGTCATAAGAGGAGGAAGGGTGGACCTTCAGTATCTGTCTTGAACACAAGCAATGATTTGTCACTCTGTTTTAACACTTCGACTAGTGCTTTCTCATCTACTTGGCCTTGATATGAACACCCAAAGGCTAGTGCTTAAATTATTCAGATTAGTAGAAATTCATTTGTATGAGTGCAGATATTAAATAATGTGAAACTCCATAGATGTCTTTGAGAGTTTAAATGATTTTGTTGATTTGTTGTTGCTTTATAGATTGCTTGGAAGCATTTGATTGTCATTTTGACATCAATAGTGATCAATAACCCTCCATGTCCTTTCCTAAAGGAGCAGCGTACAAAGGTCCCATCTGACCAGTAATGCTGATTAACAAAGTACCTCTTTGAAAAATAAGTGCTCCTGTCAGCTCTCTCACATTTAATTAGTGGTCCACAATAAAATGCCTTCACATATGGCACATTGCCTTGACTTTATTAGTTTAATGACTTTCCCTGGTTCAGTCACTGACTGACCTTTTTTAGACGGACGTGAAAACAGGCAACCATTTTTGTGACTGATCTGTTTTGGCTTGTTTTACTGTCTGGAGCAGCATATTTGTAGGGACAGCTGGTATTTCCTCCTCCTCTGTGCCTGTGGGATTTGTATGCATGATGTAGAAGATAGAGTATACAGTATGTTTCTCAATAGTAAAACAGGTCTTGCAAACATACCTCAAAGGCATGTTTGTACAAGTATGATGTTTGATGTATTGTGAATCTCCTGAGGTTTCCTGAGGTTCTCTTACGAGAGTATCTCTCGTACTGCGTAATAGCTTTACGCTAGGGGAAAAACTCTTTTCCGCGAGATATTGAAGCCAAAAATTATCCTTTAATTTTTTATTAATGCAAAACGCTTTGCAGCAGCAAGCAAACATAGGCGAAACAGCTCGCGCGCCTATTGGTTGCTCTGCAGCAAATGCAGCAGCCTATCGAGAGAGACTCTGCGTGACGTAATGACCAATGGGGGCAATTCGCGCCCATATCGTCACGTCCCGTGACGATATGCTCGTTAGGCTGATACAAGCTGATTTTTACCTCTTCAGCGAAGCACACGCATCGCTGGATCCGGAGTGAGAAGCCGCGCCGTCGAAGCAAGCCTTTCAGCGGGACGAGCTCTGGAGTCGCTGGCCTCGCCGCCTTCATCTGCCGTACCTGCTGCGCTTTCCGGCGTTATATATCCTTTCAAATACTCTGTGTGTATTTCTCTGTTGAGAAGTGTTTGTTCGCTTACTAGACGCGACTTACACTTCTCTCACAAAAAAGAGCAGCGTCTTTTTAAAGATGCCTTCCTGTGGCTCGTGCCGCGCCCCGCTCAGCGATGGAGATCGACACGTCATCTGTGTTTCCTGTCTGGGTGAGGATCACGCGGCTATCGCGCTCGCTGACGGCGGATGCCCTCATTGCGAGCTTTTGCCCATGGTGACTCTGAGGACTCGCCTGGCATCATTCTCCGAGCCTTCACCACAGCCCGCCGTGACGCCGCGCCGTAAAAGCGCCGCGCCCAGCGCGCTCCCGAGCTATCTCCAGCCCGCCAAAGCTCGCCGGTTCGCCCGCCTGCTTCGCCGGCTTCGCTCGAGTCGCTCACTGACGGACAACGGCCGCCGCCTGCCGCCGCGTCCATCCACGAGCCTGACGAACCCTCCGAGGCGTGTTCTCTTCTGGCGTCCGATAGTGAGGATTGGGCGAGCTCCGTGGATCTCCCCTCCGCTAGCGTTTCCCGCCAGACCACTGGTAAGAGAGCCGGCATTGAGACTGAGCTGATGCGTCTGCTCTCTCAGGCCGTTGAAAGCATCGGCCTCGATTGGGAGGCGCCCGCGCAACCGCCGCGCAACAGGCGAGCTCTGTGGACCTCCGCCTTCTGTCCGCGAGTCGTCAAGGAAACGGGCCAGCATTCTACCCCGCCCCCCATGGGCGTGCGTCACCGGCAGATGAGAAAAGAATGTGTTTTAGTCCCCGCCGAGGCCGGATTAATCTCCATTTCTCAAACATTTCTCAGCTCCTAGTTTGAGCGGCTGAAAATGTCATTATTGCAGCAATGAGCCTGTTGTATAACACGCACACCTGCATACAAACGCCGACACACACAAAACTGTGATGACGCTCTCTTATCTGCTTGCGCTGGTGTAGTTCTCCCTGTGGCCCAGTGGCGGAACCTGAAGCTTTCACGCGGGAGACCCGTGTTCGATCCCGGCTCTCGCAGCAGATAAAAACTTAGTCTCGCCGCGGCCAGACTTCCACCGAAACTTTTCGCTCGTTCAGTTCCAGATAATGCGACTGTTCCAGTGTATTTTGCAGTAAACAAGCTGGTACCACGGCCCGCTTGCCTGCACATAAAGGCCGTTTCCATGGCGACCCAGAAAAATCATTGTATTTCTGGTTTTCCGGCCACAGCCGATGGTGTTATAAGTGTAATAAAATGCTCACAGCCCAGTGTTCATTTCTACACACAAACACAGCCCGCCACGGTACAGGGCTCGCACAATTGTGCATTAAATGTAGTGAATGTGCCCACAACCCAGTGCCCACATACACTACCACGGTTTCTGTAAAACGAAACCAACACAAGTCTTCCTAGCCTCCTAGGAAATTGACGGTGTTTCAGTCTCGCCGTGGCCAGACTTCCACTGCAATTTTCGCTCGTTCAGTTCCAGAAAATGTGACTGTTCCAGTGTATTTTGCAGTAAGCAAGCCAGTACCATGCCCGCTTGCCTGCACACTAAT